ATATATATATATATATATATATATATATATATATATATATATATATATATATGTATGTGTGTGTGTGTGTGTGTAATTGTATGCTTTTCTGTGTGAGTGTGTGTACGTGAAATTATTGAATATTTGAACATTTATCTGCCCAAGAATTTAATGACAACCATTGCATCCCAGCGGCCATTTTCGATAATTCTCTTTCTCCAGCACTGTAATTTTTCCTTCCATCGTCGCCTCAAAGAATCCATATGACTTTTCGGCCTAGATCTAAAGAAATGTGTATTACTTTTGCCTTCTAGATTTCTTTTTCATATACCTAATTCAGAATCATATGAACGACACACTACCGCGAGACAACCAATCGACAATCGATGAATGCGAATATCAGTAAGAAAATAATATTTCTGCTCATCTGAGTTGAGTGTAATATCAAATTAAATAAAAGTCGATTAATGTAAAACGTAAAAATTAATTTTATATCCACAATATCTGCACAGAAACACAGACATACCAAATGTCCTTTCTGAAATAGAGAGAATTATATCCTAGATTAAATTACGATAAAAACAAACCGCCTCACCTGGTTCATTCCTTGATGTGCTGCATTCATAACTCAATATAACCACTACTACAATATCAATCATTGGCTACAACCGTTGCAAATTTTTTTTCTGGGAAATGGAGTTATGAATACTGCAGTACATGCCAAGGCTGGAACTAAAGAACATAAATGATGGAAATTCTGGAAAATTTCCAACCAAATTCTCCACTGAGGCAAAGCGTCAGAGTCTACTAAATAAATGGCCTTGAGGTCATCTCATCCCCGTCAGATAAGGCAAAAATCCTGGAGAAGAGATTTGCCTCTAAGTACACGTTAGATCAGGCATGTCAAATTGAGACTCCCCTGGGAGCCACCTGCTCACATATTTGTTGTCTTGTGGGATAACCAATTGTGCACATTAAAATTAATTGGTGTCATTTAAAACAAGAAACACACAATGTTCATACAAATTTTTTAACATGATTTGTCTATGCAATACAATGAAATAGTTTGATAAAAAAATAAAGTTTTAAACAATAAAATATACGTGCAGTTTGAAAAGCAATAAATAGACTGGACAAAAATTACAGCTGTTCAAAACTGAACATTATTTTGCCAATATTCAGTCAGTTTTAGTTTTTTGTCCTCAGGCTTGATACCAATTTTTGCTTACAATTTTTGAGATGTCTGTCTGAATTGACGAATTTGGATTAGTCTTGTTCTCATATAAGTTTTAGTCAATGTCACGAAGGAAAATAATTGATCACAGACATAGGTAGAACCAAACATAATAATCTCTGTGGCAAAACTTTCCGAAGATTTTAAACTTTTCAGAAAGGTATAAAACCTCCCAGGTACTCCTACTTCAAGATACTTTGCGATGACTGTAAAATCCGAATTTCGAATAGTTCAATATGCAGGCTTTCTTCTGTCTTGGCAACATCAAAGGTGCTGAGATTAATGCAAACTGATGTTCAAAAGATGAGGAATCAGTAAATCTTTTCTGGAATTCCTTTGACAACAATTCCATTTGACTGTCATACTTAACAAAGCTTAGTACAGCCTCGGTATTGTCAGTGTTTTTCGGCTCTTTGCACAAAGGAAAATAAAATAATATTCATTTGACAACTTTGACTAACATTATTTTAATTTTGTAATGAAGTACTTGATGCGACATGCAACTGATAAATTTGTTTTTTCCTTGTATTTATCAAATTAATTTCAGTTAATTGCTCAGTAATATCAGATTTTGGAGACAATTTGCATCTTTTATTCATCTGTGTATTGATCATTTATCTTTAAAAACATAATTAATTCTTGTCTGAAAAAATAGAAACATTACAGGACTTTGTAACATTACAACCAACGAACTTCTGTGTACAATGGAACATCAGCGAATTGATTATCCATATCTTTCAACATCTGACGGAGGATGAGTGCACGACCTCTTATATAGTTCTCTGTTTTTGTGACCAATCAAAGCACATGATTCAATTTTAAATCACTGAATAAAAATTTTGATCATGTATAATACAGTGAAAATTTGCAAACAATGAATCTGGATAAGAGTATTTTATTTTTCTTTGTAATTTGGCAGCAACACCATCATGTATGCCAGACATATTCATAGAATAGTCCGATAAGCATACAGATTTACGTAAATCAAAACTACGCTCATACAGAACTTACTCAGCTTTCTCAAGCATTTCTTGTCTTGTAGTTTCATTCATAGGGACCACTTCAATCAATTTAAATAGTAAATTCATTGTCTCAGCTCATGTTGACGATAACATGCCGCGCCATTCAAATGATGTCAACGGTTTCATCAACTACAATAAAAATTGATCAAACCTTGATAATCCGGCCTTCAAATATTTTTTTTTAAATCAGCTGACATTTCATCAATTCATTAAACAATAGTATCTTGGTTAATGGAATGTCTTTGAATGCGTGTGCTTTCTCTGGAAATAAAATTTCAGCTGTTTTCATAAAACATTGATTTACGAAGATTTCTTCAATGTACGATTCCTAATCATGGCTGTCATTCATCTATCATTCGGCTCATATCATAGCTTTCAGTAACGGAAGTGATTTTCTGTTTCTAAATTTTCGTTAAAACGTCTGCTGATGTGACAAATCAACCTTCAGTTCTTTGAATTTTGATAAGCACATTACAAATGAAGCAAAGGTAACTTTTTTATTTAGCATTGTGGATAGATAACGTAATTCCCACTTTTCTTGAAACAGCCGCCCCTTCTTTATTCAATTTTCTTTTTCGCTTAGCTGGTGAGGGTACAAGCCGTTCTAGGATAAAAGTAGTAGGATATAAAACGAATTTTTAAATTTGATGATTGGAAATCTGAAAAATTACAGTCAAAAGAAATAAAGCAATTTTGGTAAGATCTCTAAAATTTTTTTGACTTACGTTTCACATTTGAAGCAAAAACTTTTGGTGTGAAGGCTATTGTCATGGCTACTACATATAAATTGTTCCGGTCCTATTTTGTCGAATATTTGCTACCTTATGTAAAATAATTTCCTAGTTCCATACGATCTTAAAGTTTGTCGATGATATTAAAATTATTTTAAATAAATCCATTAAATGAAATCCTTATTTGGTATTCTATTAAAATAATTCGAAATATAAAAAAACGATTTATTTTCACGAATACAGTAATTTCTAAATTATAAAAGCCTCAGTTTTGTTTCTTCCTAGCCGTCGAATGCAGAATACTGACTGTCCCAGCGTCATCTGAAACACAAGCGTGGGAAAAATCGTATGACAGATATATTTAGCTCCAACTCAGAGAGGAAAAGAACAGTTTTTGTTAAATCTCGTGCGATAATCTGAGATCTGTGTATTAAAATGAAAAATGTCTTTAAAAATGAAGAAGAGAAGACACAAGAAATGTTTGATAATCGGTAGAGATAGCAGAATGTACAACGACTATGGACAATTTATATTTAAATTTCTAGCGGAAACCAGGAAAATATAGAAAAATTAGTAGTACATCATCAACATGAAAATATATTTAACATTTAACCCTATACACACACATACATACACACACACACACACTTATATATATATATATATAAAGTGATTTAAAATATGTTTTTCGCTGTACAGTAATAACCGTGTTTCAAAAAAAATATTAGTTCCGTTTCATCTTCAAGCGAATGTTGCACTCAATATCTGCTTGAAGATGAAACGGAAATATCTTTAATTTATATATATATATATATATATATATATATATATATATATATATATATATATATATATATATATATATATATATATATATACGTTTCTAAAGCAGTAATGGATTTTGTATCTATAAATCCATTAATTGGACGTTTATCTATCACTTGAACTGTTACTTTTAGTGGATACACTTGTTTGTGCAGGTGGTCCGTTGATTTATTAAACAGTATATTTATTTAATTTCTTATAACGGCTGAATATTCGAGAAATCTTACTAAAGAAATATATGCGATCTCCGGTATGATTCGAACCACCATCATCATGTCCAGTCGGAAACTATCTTTAGATCCGACGTTCCCTAACCGACTCAGATACGAAGTAGCTTTGCCAATCTAGCAAGGTCTGAAAATTGCCTTTAAAGCGAAATCCTTCTCGTTATAGATAAGTCTGACCTCTGCTCAATTTCATATGGAAACGTAAACAAAGTAATTCTCTAAGGAAATAAATGATTTTTACTTATTAATCCTGCAAATTTTTATGACTTTAAACGTTAATTTTAGTGAATACTCGTATTTGTATGGACAGTCCGTTTATATATAAAACAGTATATTTATCATCGTCTACCCGCTAGAACATTCAAGAAATCTTATTAAGCATTTGAAAAAGTCTCACCCCCGGATAACCGATTCGAAATCAAAGATACATTATTGGAAAAACTTCTTTATGGACTAGTCATTTTGGACACGTAAGTTCTAATGAATGTTGCAATCTGCCTGAGATCACGTATTTTTTTAATCATATTTGGAAATTCAATACAATCTACTTTCAACGACCATCGAAAAGAAAGTAAAATTTTCACCCATCAGCCATATATATTTGGCGCTATAAATCTTCCCCAATTTAAATAATATTTAACCATTTATAATAATGATTTTTTTTTCTTTTTCTTATATTCATTCAAACTCAGTAACCTCGTGTGTCTTAGTAGCGTTATTGCCTTGCTTGGAGTGAACTGATTAAAGAAAATATTTTGGTTTTTGCTTTCTTTCTTTCTTCGTTTATTTGTCCGTCTTCTTGTCTAGGAAAATCACACTTCTCCGTTGCTGGTTTCCAAAATTGATCTCGCAAAATCTCCTCTGGCGAAAATTCCGCGTTCAAAGAAATCTGTACACATTCTGGCATGAAGTTTTTTTTTTCTGTTAGTTTCTTTTTCTTTCTTCTTTTTCTTCTTCTTTTTCTTCTTCTCGTTGCTATTTTTCAGAGCTGCTTTACTGGATCTAGTATAACAGGTTCGTAAAATAGGTTTTCGTAAGACAATGACCGGTCTTATAGGAAAGAAACAGAAAAAGAGTCCTCATAAAAATGAAACACACGGGATTGTCTTTAAAAAGAAATATTTTAATTTTGCTTCAGCCACAGAATAATCATAACAAAATAGAAATTTGTACAAACCTAAATATGCATTCACTCTGATAGATAGATAGATAGATAGATAGATAGATAGATAGATAGATAGAAAACAGACAGGGATAGATAGATAGATAGATAGATAGATAGATAGATAGAAAACAGACAGGGATAGATAGATAGATAGATAGATAGATAGATAGATAGATAGATAGAATACAGAATACCAATAATTTTTGAAGAAATATGACAAATGGAATTCCGTTTCATCGAAATTAGTTTTGATTATGCATTTCGCTTTTCCAAGCTTCATCAGATCCAAAAACATAGAGAACGGACGTAGATAGATAGATGTAGAACATAGATAGATAGATAGATAGATAGATAGATAGATAGATAAAATTAGTAGTGAAAACGATGAATTTTGTTTGTTCACATACTTTCTCAGTTTTATGTACAGGAGAAGTTTATAACTTGTTTCTTGATTGGAATTGTTTTTCCGGTTCATTCGTCTAAAGGTTTTTCATTTTCTTTCGGCCCAACTACACCTTTGTGTCTTAATGGCCTTATCATCTTCACTGGGGTGAAATGATAGATGATGTTTACTACTTCATCACAAGAAATCCTTGTAAGACATATTTCTGCGTCGTACAGGCATGGTTCTCTAAGCCAGATAAAAATTTAATAATTTTGGCAATCATTCATTGGTTTCGATTGAAATTTTCAGCCAATCAACAAGCAGAAAATATCTTATGATGTCAAGCAATGCTAGTCGATGAAAAAAGAAAGACATTTGGCCAATCCCATTATTTAAAGAAGAACAGAATGTACTTCAAAAGAACTAGCAGACAACACACTGGAGGCTCTCAGGCTGCAATGATCACTTCTACTTGGGCGCCATAACGACGGATGATGAGTTCAATACTCTCGAAGTGAGCATGGAAACTCTCGCATTTTTCATTTATAGGTTCTCGAGAACTGTATTTACCTTCTTTTGACAGGTATTGTTTTTAATTCCGCTAATGTCTAACCAACATCTTTAGCAGAAAAATCCATGTGTAGCAATTTTTAATCGTCATTAACCCGGTCATGCAGCATTTATTACTGAATTACATATTACCAGTCACACTAATAGAGTGACCTGACGTGAAAATAAATAGATGTATAGACAGATTGATAGAGGAACGCGTTGCTGAAATATCTATAGGGAATTACTTCCATATAAAGGATGTTTCATTAAGACGGATCCAAATCAACAATAAATAAATCAGTGTTAATTGTGAAAATTAATTTATTTCTCTATTGGATCATGTTACTTACGTCATTGCAATTATGTGTGAAAAATAATATATGGCCCAAATATCTACCAAATTAGAAAGAAAAAGAAAAGGAAAAAAAAATCAAAGATGCTTAAACTTAATTCACATTTAAAATCGATCCAAGTTATTGGAACACCTTTTATATACTAACAGATAAGTACATTTCTGCTTGCAAAAAATCATTAATACAAATGCATATATTAATTCAAAAAATGAAAACACATTAAAAATGTCAAGATTATATCCATTCCGATAAACATCCTGGGTATGACGATAAACTACATTCGCGTCCTGGGTAAGACGGTAAACTACGTCCAACAGCAAGGCCTCTGATCAGGAGGTTTTGAGGAGCGTGGAACCACCTCTTAATTGCTGGCGTTCTCAGGTCCACGCTGACCCGGTGTGGTAGCACCTGTTAAGATATTAGCTATGGACAAATATTTAACACCAAACTTGTGTAAAAATTGGTTTAATACCAGAAATCATTTGTAATAATAATAATAATAAAAAAATATTACCAGCAATAATTTCCGAAGGAAAAATTATTATCAGCAATACTTTTTAAGAAAAATACCAGCAATACAAACAGCTCTACATTTTTAGAAAAAAAATATTACCAGCGATAAAAAAAGTATTCCCTGAAATAGATTTTTGAAGAAAAACATATTACCAGTAATAAAAATTTTGTCGGCATTAAATAACCCATTGAAGTTGATATGCCGTAAATCAAAATAAACCAAAACAAACCATTCTGCTAAACATTCACAAAACCTCAAGAAAACATTTGAACATGCTTTTTTCACGTCAATATTACTATTAAATTGAATTTTTCTTTGAAATATATATATATATATATATATATATATATATATATATATATATATATATATATATATATATATATATATATATATATATATATATATATATATATATATATATATATATATATATATATATATATATATGAAAAATATTTATTCTGTACATTTTAAAGAATATAACCAAACCCCATTAAATATATATTTTCTAATTTTCAACTATAGTTTATAAAGAAATATATCTTGTTAAATTTCTAATTTTTTAAAAGGAGAATAATCTTCTGAAAGATATTTCACAATTTGTCATTTTTATAATCAAAGATATATAGACGTAGATCTAAAGAATTATAACTACGAAATATTAAATCCACTTATCAATATGTTTTTGCGTTATATTTTATCACTGGAATGAATGACCGCAGGAGATTCGTGTTTCTGAAATTGTATTCGATAAAAAACGATAATTGTAAGAAGTGAATTGATTCTTATTCCATTCTGCATAACACGAACAATATGATTAAGAGGACATAAATTGAGATATTCCATTTGAATTGCATTTGAAAAATAACTGATGAGAAACGATCCGATTTTCATCACATTTATTTCTTAGGAGATATGTCTGTCTTAGTTATAATTATAGTTACAATTGGAGTCATTAACCACGCCACCGAACAATCGGTAGCATCTCAAGAGATTTTCAGACAGTTACTTCTGTATTTATGTGGATATATTTTAAGAGATACTTTTCTGTCACCTTAAAAATATCAAAAATAAATGGTTGTCGCATATTTCCTCAGACCTGCATAGAGATAAAAAAAAATAGCAAGGATTGCTAAAACTTACTTAACCAAATAAAATTTGCCTCCTTAAATATGTTCGTAATAACTCAAATTAACATAAATCTATATTTTTTATAAATTGTAAAATATACTACTAATCAGTTTCCATTTATAAAGCTTTAATCCGTTCAGCTATGCGTTCCTGAACAATTTTAAACTTTTCTACCATAGTTCTTGAGACAAAATTCGTAAATAATTGGTATGAAATATTTCACGGTAGATATAAAAATAGTTACAAGTGTTTACTCGCCGTTCAACCGGTCAATGTGCATTAAGCCATTTTTCTTTACTACCGGTAATGTGTTGGTCAGAGGTCAAAGGTTTAATGCTCTCTTAGGATAGTGGATATGGGTATGTTAGTATAAAAAAGGCATCCATAGGACAGGGTACCAACTACAGATTCAGGACTCTCAGGAATTCCGTCAAAGTTTAGGCTGAAATCTCAACATTTTACCAACAGACTGCCTAAGAATCCCGTAGCATGCAAACAAAAATTGTTGGTCAATTGCTACCTGATGATATAGAAGATTAGTACGGAAAAATCGAAAACCATGTTTCAGTGGAGGAAACTACAAAAAGGGAGAAATTCTGATAAGACTGGTGAAGATTGTCTGATCGTAAATAATTTCCTAGCAAAGAAAAGGAAATGAGAACTGTCAACGATTGAAAAAAAGGATCGATTGAAAATTTCAAGATCGTTATTGAGAACAGCATAAAGAAATGTCGATGGTAAAGCAGGGTAGGGTTTTTGCAAATAAAAACAAAACAAAATGTGACTTCCAGCCTAAATGGAAAGTTATAAAACATTTTTAGATATGCAGACATTTTTTCAGAAAAAGAAATGTCCAAACATTTTTTTTTAATTTTTTTTGTTATGAAGAAAAAACAAGTCTGTTTGGACAACGTTCCTGTGATTTACATTTTTAGCTTCTGATAAAGATGGCGCTGTGTTAATGATTTTCATACTTTTTCTCAAGATGTCAGTTTTGTGGAAAAAAAATGATGTTTTATATAGTTTGTGTATAGTACAACCACAGCTCCTATGCTATATTTGCAACCCTACCGTACCGTTATATTGCAATAATCTACATCATCCTAGGCATATTTTACAGCAAATAAATGGTCTTAATTTTTTATTTGTACCATGTACCGTATTACGTTGTTTATAACTGACATATACACGACTTTGACACAGGATACGACTTCAGATTTCAGTATCAAAATTTGGAAATGATCAAAATAGTATCTATCGTGAAAGATTCTCTAGAACAGCATAGTTAACAAACATTCCTTGCAGCATACCATGCAATTAATTTGATATAATCATAACAGCACATGCCAGGAAAAACGTGATATATATATATATATATATATATATATATATATATATATATATGTACTCTCCCTTCGGTTTTGACGTATGAGGATCTGACATCTTATTGATTCAGTTATGAAAGTTTGTGCGATAATCTTAAGTGGCATTTAAGACCCGCTAATGATTTACAAAGGAGGCCACATATGAAGCAAGTGTAAGGATTGTGAAATGAGATCACTGTTAGATTGAGTGACCTTTTAGATCTTGCTCTCGCTTCTTGAAGATGATTCAGACGCAGATTGAAAATTGCTGAGTCTACTAAAACACGTTGATCTCCATTCTACCCGCTCCAAAACCAAGCGCTCAAGAGTGTTATGCGGTATATTGACTGCTGACAAGTTGCTTTTCAGCATGTATTTGTATCTTAGGCATGGGCGTCCTACATTCCTGTAGCCCTGATCTAACTGGCTGTACATTACATTAGAATCTGGGTATCCTTTCATCAGACATTCTCAAGACATGGTCAATCCTCCGTAACTGAGACTGTATGATAAATGTCTCGTTTCCTCCAATATTACACCTGTTTAACAGGTCTACGTTAGATGTCCTATCTTGAAGCTTAACTCCACAGATTGCACGCAAACAGGTTTTATGGAAAACATCAAGCTGGCGTATATGGTACCTGTATCGATTCCACGACTCTGAGCTATACAAAAGTATGGCAAGTACAACAGCTCTGTAAATCCAAATTTTCCTATCCCTCCGAATACCCCGCTCATTCCATTCCATATATATATATATATATATATATATATATATATATATATATATATATATATATATTACCGAAAACGTCCGACGTTGACATATAAACATTTAAACCGTATAAATTGTATATAAGGATTTTTGTCTGTTTTTTCCGTATATATTTTTTTCGCATACTGGATTTTTTGTTTGTTTTTATATATATATATATATATATATTTTATATATATATATAGTGGGTCACATTGGTTTTTATATCTGAAAAAAACTTACAGATGAATTTCGAAACTTATAGGAAATATGTAAACGAACATTCTCGATCAAAACATCGAAGGAAAATTTAAAACCACTGTTTTGAGACACATTTATTTAATAAATAA